ATCCTTTCTTTAAAAAGGGTTCAAATAGAGATAATTCATCCAAATAATATGATTATATATTGCACAGGTCAGAGTATGCCATAAGACAGACATGCTAAGGACAAAAAAATCTTACCACTTCTTCTTATTTATCGAACAAAGCCACTTTATTACAGTAATAATAAGAGATATTGATCCAGTAAGATAACGTTTCAGTCACTGAATCAGGAGGTWATATCCTTTACTTTGGAAAAAATAACCAACAATGCTATGTGTCATTATGTATCATCAGTTGTATACACTATAAAAGAACAAGAGTAATCATGTATCATGAAAATATAGAAGTAGACAAATGTAACTGGTATATTTCTTCTGAATATAGCTCGAATTTAAAGCTTTTTGTTTCAAACCAAACTTCAATATATCAATCATTTATACAAAATACAATGGAAACATATTCCATTATGTACAGAAATCCTCTAAAATTAATTATTGCTAAGATGTGCCACTACGGGTTTGGTACTTTCCAGTTTATCACGTAGCACAAATTCAAAAGCCTTAATAAAAATCCATCACATTAACACTATTACTAACTACATCTTTTATCTCCCCCCCGCCCCGCCCCGAGACAACAAATTAGTTTAACAAGATTTCCACAAATGCAACCAATCGGCATTTCTCACTTTTTATTATCTACTTATTTTTAAAGCAAAGTAACAAACTCTTAAGATATTCTCTATTTTTTCTCTATTTTCATTTCCTAGAACTACATTTTAAAGCAAAACATGTTAGGCAACATCTTAAAAAACCAAATGATATATGAGAAGTTGATTGTTATTTTCTAAGACATGTGAAAACACCAAAAAAAAAAGAAAAATATGAAATACAAATTCCTTTTATGATAGAATACTCTATAAATAGTCAGCTAGAAATGAAGAAACATAATTCTCAAATCTAAGTTCTTTCCTTTTCAGAATAACAGTATCACAGCAGTACTAACTGACACAACAGGAAAGAAATTAAATTCCAAATTTTTATCAACTYCTAAATCTGTATATGATTTTGTTGGCATTTATGCAAAAGCTACAAATACAGAACATACGTAGTCAAAATATACCATTTTGGATTTCTACAAGCTATTAGGTTGTTAAATTCTCCACAAAAGTAAGATATCAGCAGTGTTTCTACTTAATACACCAGAACCCACACAGACAAATTACACTCTTAACAATAGCAAGATTGTTAAACTGATCCTGAAAAGAAAATTTCCAAGATGAGAAAAAAAGAATATAAAACAAAATTTTAAAAATAGTTTAAATGATTACTCCACAACGTATACCTAGTATACACACATCACAAAAAACTGCAAGGAACAAGTTTCAACTTCATGTCTGATCCACAAATATTATTCTAGCACCCTAGTTCTTAGTCCTTAATTCACTGAAATAAATCAGTGTTTGATTTCAGCAGTGAGTACTGTGGGCAAGGTGTTCATTGCTATGGGACAGCCTACACACCAGGAGAGAAACATCTGGGACCAGGAAACTATGCTCCTGGAAGAGTCAACATGAAACATATCTCATCAATGGATGTAGAATGTGGGTGTGCTCTTTTCATAACTTGTTTTCTAGACAAATAAAATTCATAAACTCTAATATATCCGAGAACTTTAGAAAAACCTGCAAATTCATGCTAGATGTGGGTTATTCACAGTGCACCAAATGGATCAAGTTTTAACTAAATATACTGTGTGTTATCAGTCCTTCCGTGATCAAGAACTTCTCCTATAATACCAGGATTTTCCAGGAGAGACACTCCCTACAAGTGAGTGGAATCAATTGCACAAATTTTACAAACCTTGAGTGAAACTCTGTAAAAATTAGTATGGATAAAGGCCTATTCACTTAGAATTGATGAATTTAAACTTATGTGACTCTACAGAAGCAAATGCAATGACAACCAAGAGATACAGATAATTGATAAATCAAGATTCAATTCTTAAAAGTGCAAGACCATATAGAACTACTTATAAATTAATCTATAACACAACAGCTAAAAAATGAGAGGAAAAATTTGATATATRCATGTGTTTATGAAATATACATGTGTTACTTGGCACTACTAAGACTACGAATGAGCAGCTTGTGACATATCAAAGAAATTGATTGCTATTGAAATTGAAAGAACCTCAGGCGTAAGTGGAGTTTAGAAGGGAATCCTTTCCTAAAAAAAGTCTGATCACTTTTTGAAACATATGTAATATCTGCCTGCAGTAGCAGGCATAGTGACATAAGAATCCTCTCCCTTGTATGCAAGCCATTTGCTTATAACTATTAAAAGCTGTTTCATGAATGTAGAAATAAAACTCACAATATTTATCAAAACTGGCTTCAAAACAATTAATGTTTCTTTTGGACAAATGTTCAAGTTAATACTATCTTGCATCCTAACCAAAACAAATTTCCTTTAGTAAGGAAAACAAAGTATTATTCAGTGTCTCCGGTAAAGCCTACACTGCAACAACCAGTTTTATAAACACTCAGATCTCTCAAGAGGATACACACAACTCAAGTCACATGGACTTTAGAATTACAATAACTTACAGGACATTAAGGACTGACATCTGGAAGAAATCTAGTTTGAATATGCTGATAATCAAGTACAGTCCTGTTAGCGGACTGTAGAATTTAGATACAATTACGTTATTATAACTGCTGCAGAACGAATAATATATGTATGAATTAATAGGTAGTAGTTATTAAACATATTCACTTTGTGAAAAATCTTTTAAGAAGAGTTCTAATGATACTGTACTGCAGCAACTGAACATTTTTCCCTAAGTTTAACCAATTAAATATATATATCACAAGGAAAATKGCACCTACTTTAAATACATTTATGCTTCTTTACTACTGAATGAGTCTACTTCTAACTACTGTTTAAGTACCATTTAAACTACAGTGCACAAGACATGATTGTCAATAAGTTGAAACAAAAGTATTCAGAGTCGGTATCAAATTGAGCAAAATTTCCATGGAGTTTTCCTGCTACTCACTTTTAAAATAGACCTAAATTTAGCTAAGTCTACAGGAAATAAGCTACAGTAGCTAGTAGCTTATTTCAGGGACTGCTTGAAAGCTCCAACTTCTGGTATTGCTGACTTGAAGTAATTCAGGTTCCAAGATTTTAGGCTCCCAACTCTTCAGCAGATATAATTTCCAAGTTTCTCAGTATGGCTAAAAAGGTAAACTCCACATGGATTTTAATTTGGGTGTTACACTAAAAAGTGCAGAAACTGTGAACTTAGAAGCAGGAGAAAAAAAAAAAATCAGTATTTCTCCATCTTATGTGATTCTGTGTGATGTTTTGCTTTTATCTCTCTACTAGTCACCAAAAAGACACTGTTAATTACTACAAGCTTTAGCAGGTGCCTGGCAATCAGTAATAGAGGCTTCTTTCCTCCTGTGATTGCACTGCGCTGAACATTTAATGTTCCCAGTGAACAAATGTGTACTGCATTCATTTTTCTGTATTTCATTCAACAGCAATATATCCATCATCTGTTAAGCAGATATGAGATACTTTACTATTTTAGCTGGCTCATGAATATATATTAAAGAAAATTACCTGAATATTCTATTTGCACTCCTCTAACACTAGAATAGTCAAAAAAGGTATTCTGAATTAGGTGTGCAATTGTTTCCCCTTCTTATTACTTCTATATAATCTTATCATGATAGTCAGAGAAAATAAAATATCCTGTTCTGAGTAAATGAGATGTAGATGTGAAATTTTAAAGCTGCTAAATAAAAAGGCAGTACTTTTCAAGACGTGTATATACCTGAAGGCCAAACACCAAGCAACTTGAAAGTCTTGTAATCTCTCAGAAACATACTGCTTCCAGAGTCTTATTGCCTTTACAAAATGGAAATCGCATTTTTGTTAGATGTTTATGCACCAAAATTCTTCTGTTATTAATACAGATACATCAGGGACAGCTAATTGAAAGCACCATTTGCATAAAGTGAGCTGAAACCTTAACAAAACAAATTAAAACCGAATAGAAATGGGGCTACAATTCTTACTGTGATATTACAAATGGAAAATGTTCCAATATTCCCTCATAATCATTATAAATACATTACTAACACTTAGTATGAAATGTATTTTATTATACAGAGATTTTGTTTTAAGAGATCCTAAAGGCCATTATTTGCCTCTATCCAACTACCAAACTATACATATTTTCAATACACATAGGACCGTTTTCCCCCTAAACCTGAGGTCTGTTCTGCAACTCTGTTGAATTTTATTCTGCTCATGATCAATTTTAAATTTWAAAAAAAATCTGTTCATGCTTATTATAGCCATAAAATTTCTTTTGATTAAAACAGTTCTGCTCGTACATTTTCCAAATCGTACACTGCCCTTCAGCGTGCAAGCTGCTAAAGCAGAAACTTACATATACTTCTAGCATGGCAAAAAAATCTAATCAATCACTTGTGAGTGCTTTTAGAACTCACTTTTATTTTATATGATATATAAAAGTTATATTTAAACTTTTCTTTTTAAAAAAAACTTTTCCCAAATCAGACACTTAAATTGTCCCTCTTCCCATCTTGCAGAAGATGAATGTATTGAATACATTAGATGTACACAAATATAGAGACCATCAGAACAAATAAAGAATGGACTTAATATTACTTTGAAATTATTCCTTCCTTTCAAAAATAACTGATTCTACCACACAGCAGAATTTAAGTAGTCATTTTGCCTTTTTCTCCCCTCAACAAGAAAAAATTTCTCTGATTTTTGTGGATACTTTATACTAAATTTTGTTTTATACCCAAATTATGAAGTTACAAAGCAGAAACAATTCAACAGGAATTTATGATTACTGAGATTTAAGAAACATGAACTCTTATTGAAAGAAAAACACAATTTATCTTTCTACTCATGTTCTAWGCACAGTAAAAGTGAAGCAACAAATACAGAATCTAAAAAATAATCCTGTAACCTACCCGCAAGGCTTCAATTACAAGGTCTCGGGCTTCCAGCTCGCCTTCCATTACACTCAAGAGCATGCGCAGCTCGGATTTGCTTAGGTTATCCACATCAAATTCTCTTTTCTGTAAGAAACAAAACACTGATTAACTTATTAAATGACTGTATTAGTTATTTTAAATAAAAAATAGACATGTCAAGTCCTAATCATAGGTTCCTCAAACATCCTTAACTTGACGTGGTTTAGTTTGCAGGACATAAGGTCAAATCTATAGCATCCATCTCTTTTTATTTAAACTGAGGAAAAGTTGTRAGGTTGGAAGTCTTCTCTTTAGAAGTGTGGAGGAAGAAGGGAATTACTGAACTGCAAAGTCACAAAGCTGAATATAAACCTGTTGTTCGCTGCGTCTTACAACAGCAACACCAGGGAACATCTAGCAAAACATGAAGGGGAATATTTTAAGGGATATAAAATAATTACAAGATACCAAGGGAGTAGAAAAGGAAGGGACCTAGGACATGATTAGGTTGATGTTTTCTCTCTAAACACCATCTCCTAGTGCTGTCCTGTCTTAATTCTGTCAGAACCCTGGGCCTCCTGAACCCTTAGTCTGGTCCAGGAGGTCTGGTTCAGATCTGATGCTGGGGGAGTGGGGGGGGGGGGGGGGGGGGGGAACATTTCATAATTTAAGAATTCAGCTACGCAAGGGATTATCTTCTTGTAAGGAAAATCCAATAAAGAATAAAGCAAGGAACGTTTCTACTTTCTCAAGGCAAGGGGAGTGCAAAACAGTTGTTCTTTCTTCAGGATGGGAGAGGAAGTCACAGATCAAAGTTCCTTAAAAGCTCCAGTTGTTTCAAGCACAAAATAAGAAAAGGAATCCAGAGTAAATCCAATGCACACAGATGTGCATAAATGGCTGGGAAAATCTATATGCCAAAACCTTATTTATTTTTATTCGATGAACATCATATTGAACTTGTATTTTTATTTGAACAGCATGGACCAGAAAGAGGACAAATCATTGAACTACTCATTGTAACAAGTGTAACTGCTTTGGGCACAGAGCCATCCGACTCCAACCAAAAAGAAAGTTCAGGCTGACCAGGAATTATCCTGTATTTTTGCTGCATGGGTCTGCAATCTCTCTGACCTGAAGATACCTCTCACCCTTCACCGAAAGGGATCAAGAAAAATAAAATAAAGGTTTTTTTCTGAAGGCTTTTTGCTAACATATGCTGCAACAGCTTCTCACAATGCTCCTCACARTTCTATACATTGCTCACCAGTCTGTCGCTGAATAAACTGCAAAGTCTCTAGAAGTCATTCTGTCATGACTTCTGATGAACATATAATTCYTCATATATTCTAGCCCCATTTTTCTCTCCATAGATTGTAGTAGAATTCAATCTCAGCATCTTTAACTACTAAACTTAGTTCAGGCAGATAGTAGGACCTGATGATCCATTTTCCTTCTTCCATGAACCATTTCATGGTCTCTAAGCACATCATTTAATTTATTCAAATAAGATCCTTTTAACTTTTATTTTTCATGATGGAAAACTGATGCAAAGATATTAAGTACTTTTCTCCAAACCACACAGGAAGTAAGCAGGGCAAAACTCAATATTTAGCAGCAGTCTTTGGAGTCTCCATTTAGTGGTTTAACCACTAGGCTGTCTTCTCTTTCTAAAATATGCTTTCCTCTTCTGACCAAAGGCAGCCCTCAAGGCTTTTTAGCAAAAGAGGGCAGCTCTTCACCAAAACATTGATGCTACATCACAAGTAAAACTTTATCATGGTCTTCCACAAGAGTTAAACTAAAGACATAAGTGAAGAAAACACTCTTATGTTCTTAAAAAACCTGAGGCATTATTCAACATATGTGATACAGGGATGAGATTTTTAATTAACCATCTGATCAAGCAATTAAAGTAAATTTTACCCAAGTACATACTACCAAAGTAGAGCACATGAAAAGGCAGCAACAGACATTGAAAGTGCTATCTTATAATTTAAAGTTACATATAAATAAATGCACATAAAAGACAATTGAAAAGACATATGYAGCTTTTATATTCCCAAGCTAAGAACCTGAAGCAAGAACAAGGAAAACGACGTTGCACATGAACAGTTACAGCGTATCAGACTAAAAGCCCCACTTAGCCTAGTACCTGTCTCCAGCAGCAACAAATCATGGACACCCTGGAAYCAGCACCCGAACAGGACAAGCGCACAGTCACCCTCGCAGCCTCCACCCATTTGAGGCTTAAGGACCTCCTAGGCCAGCAACAGCAATTTTGCATGTAGCAGCCCTTGACCGAGAAACCTGCTGTGAATTTGCCCCACTGCTTTTTGAGTATCTATGTAATTTTCGAATCCACATCTTCCTGTATCAAAACATTCCACAGCTCAAATTGTGCAAGAACTACCTCCTGTTGGGAATATGCTACCAGCTACTTTTGCTTGATGCCTCAAACTTATTTAACAGAGGACAAAAATAAACAAATTCCAATCTACTATTTCTATCTCACAGACCTTCATGTATATATGGGAAAAAAAATCCCCTCAAACTGATGTCCAATAATGGATCAAGAGACACACAAAAAGAGAAATAAAGAATTTAAAAGCTGTTTGGGGTAGAAAGAAAGGAACTTATGGTCCTAATTAACTGCCTGCCTTTATGGAAATATTGTTTTAGTGTTAGATAAATGGCATCAGTCAGACATGCATCACTATTTCATCATAAAATACGAAAATGGGCTATCATTTTTCAAATGTTGCTTAAGAATTATGCTAAGCCTATTGAGGCTTTCTTATCATAAATGTCTGGCAAATTTTGAAACTGGAATGAATGTGTTTTTCCAGTACTTAAGGATTGAAAAGTTTAAGGTCATCTTAAACTTATTATGGATAAGCAGTCTTGAGTCACCAGACACTAAGAGTGTACATGGCAGTGGCTGAAGATGCCACCACACCTTYGGTCACATATACCTTCAAATCAACACATACAAAGCTGCAAGGTAGTTCACCCTAACCTGAACAAAATCCAGAGTTTAAAGATTTAATCATAGAATGCTTAAGGTTGGAAGGGACCTCTAGAGGTCATCTAGTCCAACCCCTCTGCACACGCAGGGTCACCTAGMGCACGTGGCACAGSGCTGCGCCCAAGCAGGTTTKAAAGATCTCCAAAGAAGGAGACTCCACAACCTCTCTGGGCAGCCTGTTCCAGGGCTCTGTCTCCCTCACTGTAAAGAAGTGTTTCCTTAAGGTCCTGTGGAACTTTTGGTGCCCCAGTTTGTGGCCATCTCCTSTAGTCCTTTCGCTGTCCACCACTGAAAAGAGGCCGGCCCCCTCCTCCTCACTGCCTCCCTTGAGGTATTTATAGACACTGATCAGGTCCCCCCTCAGCCTYCTCTTCTCCAGGCTGAACAGGCCCAGCTCCCTCAGCCTTTGCTCATAGGGCAGATGTTCCAGGCCTCTGATCATCCTSGTAGCCCTGTGCTGGACTCTCTCCAGCAGCTCCACATCCCTCTTGTACTGGGGAGCCCAGAACTGGACACAGTCTCCAGATGTGGCCTCACCAGGGCTGTGTATAGGGGACGATCACCTCCCTCGACCTGCTGGAGACGCTCTTCTTAATGCACCCCAGGATCCCGTTGGCCTYCTTGGCCACCAGGGCACACTGCTGCCTCATGGTCATCTTGTCATGCACCATGACGYCCAGGTCCCTCTCCGCAGGGCTGCTCTGCAGAAGGTCAGTCCCCAGCCTGTACTGATGTCTGGGGYTATTCCTCCCCAGGAGCAGGACCCTGCACTTGTCCTTGTTGAACTTGAAGAGGTTTCTCACTGCCCAGCTGTCCAGTCTGCCCAGGTCAATGTATTTCCAAGACATGGTTGTATAATATTATTCAAGATTTGGGTAAACAAAAGTATTAAATACAACTATCTTGCCTCTTAATCACTTCTGCTTGCCATCATCTGGCACCTGGGATATCAGTCATGGCAGGCTTGCTTGTAGCTGCTCATATGGAGCACTGTTTGCTTACATTACAGAAAATAATATTTAGATTGAGAAAAGCAATCTTCCTAACATCTTCCAATAAACTCATACGTTCTACATCTCTAGTAAATAAAGTCTCATCATTTATATGTCACTCGAGACTTGGCTACCATATATCTTGTCCAGTGCCCAGATGGAACAATTTAACAAGCACCTAGCAAGCCATTCATTATATTGGTTTCACAACACCAATGTAGGAATTTGTTACCTGAGGGTGAAATTTAGCGTACACAACTCAAATACAAGACAATTTTCTCTCCCATGCTTTTCAGGGTTTTTAAAAAGTCTCTTTTATGTGATTGAGAAAAATAAGTGCTGGAAAAAGACTACGGCTTCTCTTCCCCAAGTGTCTAAAACTCCATATTTTATTTGCACATACATTTTGCAAGGAGCTTGTGTTGGCTGAAATCAAGTACATACAGCAAAGAGTCAATCAGTCAAAACGCATTTAGCATGTCCTGTAAGAAACTTCTGATATGATAAAAATGATAACCTATATCATAAAAGACTAAATATCTGGCTCTAACATGAGCCAAAAAGAAAACAAAAGCATATTAGCCAGGTAGGAGAGGGCTGAGATAGAGCATCAATCATCAGACGGAACAGGCATTTCCCCCACTCCATCATCTTTAGAAAAGATGGAAAAAGCATGGAACATATCCCTGAAGGGCAAGGTCATCAAGAGGCAAAGGAACTGAAAGGAGGACTCTTTTGCACTTAAATAAGACAGTGATAGCAAAAGCCTTCAGGATTCAATTTGTTCTCCTTTTCTCTTCATCCCTTCTTCCTGCCCCCGCCCCACAAGTTCACTGTCAGGGACTGGCGACAGTCTCACTTTGCCCAGGAGATACTAGTGGGCACTCGAGAAGCCCGGAGTGCAGCTCCTTGGGCTGCCACAGCTGCCAACACAGACTCAGCTGCCTCTAGCAGAGGCCAGCAGATAGCAAAGTTCCAGCTTTCTGATTTCCTTTAAGCAGAGCAGAAGCAAAGTGCAATTTAGCTGTAGATTAAACACAAATGGCTAAGGGAAAAGAAAGCTCCTTCCTCCTCAAAAAGCAGTA